CGTCTTCTGTCATTTTCATAACTTATCCAAATATCAAATATTACCTTTTCTTTAACCACTCATACCAAATGTTCCATATTTCATAAATCACTATCTTGTTTATTTTTTAACAGTTTGGTTTGGCTATCCATCTCAGTGCATTCATGTATTTTTTAAATTACCATATCCTCTGAAGGAATGGAAGACAGTTTCCAGTTTCGTGTGTAGGTTATTCTGGCCGCTGTTATGACATGCAAAATTAAATATTGACATTTTTTTCTCCATGACTGAATCTATCATACTTAGCAGAAACAGCCATTTTGCAGGTTTCTGTTTCCCAAGGCCTAATGGCAAAACCAGTTTTTCAGCACCTTTGGGTGGATAATAGGGTTAGGGACAATCCCACCTCAGTGGTAATGATATTCCAAAGTCCCCCCCCCATATTTTTAATTGCAAAGAAATATTAAAAATTGTAACAAATGAATGTTACACTTTATGCTGATAAATTTTGGAGGGAGCTGTGTGGGTTGAAAGTAAAGCCTTTTTCCACACGCTGCTTCTGTTTTTCTTTTATGGATCTTTTTCTGAATATCTACAGTGGTCAGTCTACGAGTGGAGGCCAATAAAAAAGAAAACAAAACTGAACCAGCTCATCTTCATATGTATTCATGCACATTCACCCACATAAACACATACAGTATATTTATAGACACATACACATAAGCGGTCAAGCAGAGAGTTTCTTGCACTGAGTTAACTCCCAGTTGTTTCAAATCAGTAAAGGATGAACGGGAATTTCTCTTAGCCTGATGCTTTCTGTTAACAGCCTCTCTCTTTTTTTCCTTAGTAACCGTGTGTTTACTGAAGGGACTTGCAAATTGCTGAACCTGGTGGTGTCTGACTTGGTGGATGAAGACTTTGTGCTAAATCGGAGGCAGCAGGCTGCCTCAGCCCTCTTGTTTGGCATGGTGGCTTTGGTAACCAAACCAGGCCAAACCTTTGCCCCCTTGATTGGCACCTGGCTGCTTTCCGCTTACACTGGTAGGTGAAGGGCAGTGGGGAATTGGATGGAATATCTGATAGCTTTTCTGATTGGCAGATAACACATCAGCAATGACAATATTCGTTGTTTTGCTTTTTATTGTCAGTCTCAAAGGTGCTTTTTTCAAGAAGCAACTGGACTTTCTGGTTTTTCTTTGAAGATGTTTCACTTCTCATCCCCAAAAGCTTCTTCAGCTCTCTTTTTACTATCAGCTTATTTTTTGGGGGGGAATATGTCTTGAAAAGAAACAGCACAATGGTTCCTCTTAAGCTTGTCCTTTTTGCTGAATTGTGAATCTGCAGAAGAAAAAAATACCTTCCCCTTAGTGATGTAGTGGTTCATGTTTTGCTTTTCTGGATACCACACCAGTGAGCTTTGTGATTGAAAGGAACAAACTAGGATAGTTTGTTCACAAATAAATCTCATACCCAATAGGTACCCCCAAAAGGAATGGGGTTTTATTCAATATATGTGATGGAAGAGATTTTAATCTAAATTTTTAAATATTCTTGTTAAGAGAATTTTATTTTCTTTTGTTTTGCTAAGATCGCTTCATGCAGGGAAATATTGTATTTCTAATGAAGGATCTTCCTGAGAAGTGCAGTTGCAGTATAAAAGTGAACAGAGTCCCGTGCCTCATTGCCACTTGGTCCTTACTGCTGCACTTGTTTTTACTATTTTGCTAAAAAGAGAGAAGGAAATGAGTTTTGGTTCAAAATTGAGGGCAGGGCATATCTTATGTTTGGTTCATCAGGACACTTGTTACTTTTTGCTCTATGATTCAGGTAGTCTTACAAAAAAGTAAATGGTCATCCAAATAATATCCTGATTATAAATATTGAGAATCCGACTTCATTATTTTCACAAAAGCAGATAATGGAGGTATCAGGAGGCTGTTGAGATGGAAGTACCTGAATATAATGGGGAAAGAAATGAAGTGTTTTTAGTAAAAATTACAATGACAAAATCAAATTAGACCCTTTCAATTCTTGAAGTTATTCTCATCTTTCTTGTTGAGCCAACCTCTCATTCGCATCTTTCTTTTCGACCCAGGTTATGACATTTTTCAACGGGATCCCTTGAGCAGTATAGTAAGTGCCCAGCCAAGGTTGGCTTCCAGTGTAGCCTGGAAACCTACACTACGCCAGGGCTGCTTCTACCTTCTTGTCTTTGTCCCCATGTCCTGTGCTTTACTGCAGCTTCTCACCTGGTCACAATTCAGCTTGCACGGCAGACGCCTTCAGACAGTGAAATCTCAACGTCAAGCTTTTACAGAGAGTCACTCTCGAGAAATCAAGACTATTTAATTGAGAGCGAAGATAACAGCGAGCAGCATCTTCCCACTGTTGATGACTGCATGACCCATTTCAAAAGGAAAAAGTGGGAGTAAACAGGAGTTTGGTACATCTTCAGATCAGCATTGGGTAGTGGAAAATAAATGGAAGCTTTTTGAATTATCTTGAATTTTTTTGTGAGGCTGTGCAGGGTCTGGCCAGTCTTGTAAAATTCATAAAGTTTGTATCTTCTGTATCCAAGGTTGTCCAGAAAAAGTGATTGCCTTGTATTTTTAAAAATATTTTATCAATTACTTACTGTTCATATTGATACTAATTCATTTCCAGGCTTGGGAGCTAAGCAGAGCTTACAAATAGTCATATTAATGAAGAAGGGGATAGAGTCGAGTACATTGGCAACTTTCTGGTCTTTGTATCACAACCCCCATATACTGTTTACAGATACCTTTGCCACAGGTGATAGGGTTTAAGTATTCCATTATCTCTGTTCTTTTTTGCACTAGATTGGTGGTCAAGCTTGATTTAGCCAAATATAGTTAAAATAATCGTAATAATGATTTCTCATGGTGGGCATAGAGCACTTACATTCTGTAAAATAGCCTCTCTGATATTGAAACTGGTCACGTATTGCCAACGTTCATCCTTTTCAAGAGAATGAATGTACTTTATTCCCACTGATAATTCAAGATAAAAAGTTGTTTTTAAAAGTCAAGTACTAAAGGCAGATGTAGCTGTCAGAAATGAAAAACATGCGTTTTCAATCTCTAGTCCTAATGGTTATGCCAAAAATCCATTTTTTCCTGTTCTGCCGAAGGGGGAATAAGGGCTAGTGGTCTGTGCATTTCTATTGAACCAGTGCAAGTATTGGTGTGCTCATGGATGACTGACAATTATTCTGCTTTTCTGGGACTACCTGTGCTAAAAAAGCTGGCACTAGCTGAGCAGAACTGACCATGAAATCATTTTTATGCAGAAATACTGATCACAGGAAATGGCCTAAAAATTGCCTTTATGATAAATATATATCATAAATATCCTTGATTTCCTCAAATGTTTTGGGCTACTTTTCCTGTCAGGACCAAGTCATATCCTCCTTTGTGCGTGCCAAGTATCACTTTGTTTAGACAGTAGCCTTAGCTGCTGCAACTGCCATTTTGCCTTCAAAGAACAGGATGATGAAATGTTTACAGCTTTTGTATTGTTGGATGGCTTCAGTGTAATTTATTGCTCTCAGTTTGTATACTGATTACATTGATTTTCATTTCATTAAACATCCTTTTAAAAAACTATTTTGCATGTGTGTGTGTGTGCACGCACGTGCGCATGAAAGACAATGATGGTTTGATGTGTTGGCTATGTGGTAGTTAATCTTGAGATGACTTTCCAAGAAAGTATCTCAGGCTATTGGCTGGCTTCACAAAATCATATTAATATATAAATATTGTAAGGGTATACAAATATTAGTGTTTGGGTTAGGACAATATACTTAATATGAACCAGATGTAAGCCCCTTTTCTCTCATTATTACACATGTAAGAGAAGTCACACTTACCTGCTAGGAAATAAGAGACCATCTTCTCCATTTCCTACAGTTCTGGTCTGATCTGTTTTTCAGAGCACTAAGTACTATTGGTAGGCAGCATCCTTTCCCCAAATCAACATCACACCAAACTTTGAGAGCAAGAGGGAGAAAATCAACTGTCTTTCTCCATCAGAGACTTTCTGTGTATTCCCTGTGAGGATTTTTACCTTTCCTTTCTGTAGAAAAAGGAAAGAAAAACTAATCCAATGGAATCTCCTCTTGATTTCTTTTCTGGATTTAGCCTGCATGCCAAACTACAGGCACAGAGGCATGTGGATTGTGCCTCTGTGCCTGTAGTTTGGCATGCAGGCTAAATCCAGAAGAGTAGAAGGCAATGCAGACACTGAGTCAGATATGCAAAGGTTTACATTGCATTTTTTCTTTCTTCAGTAAGTTTGTTTATAAGTAAAGGAAAAGTAATAGTTGAATCCTTTGGTCACCATACACGTTTATATTGCGTGGACATGCAATAATGCTGTTGTATTTTCACTTTTTGCATTTTGACTCTTACACTGCCAGAAACCAACACCAGGAATGTGAGCTCTCTCTTGTGAGAGTCAGAAGGTGGATGCCAACTGTGGCATTCCAAGAACGGTGGTGGCAGAAGGCTCAATCCAGCCGTTAACCCAAGTATATCATTAAAATATCAGTAATAACAAAAATACAAATTATTAGGCCAGCCTAGCTGTATAACCTGGAAATGTTCTTCCAACTCACTGGAATGTTTTAAACTGAAGAAAGCTTGTCTAGTATGTAAGAATCCTACCTGTCTTAATGCACGTCATGAGTGTTAGAGAATTAAGAACTGATTGCATCTGCCAACCAAATAGAATTACTTCCAAAGAGGACACTAACTCTTCAAACAATTTTTTCTTCTTCTGTTTAATTATGCCCAATTCTCAGAGATTGCATGGACACATCCCTGCAATTTTCTTGGCAATGTTTTTTCCCCCAGAAGTGGTTTGCTACTGTCTCCTTCATAGGGTTGAGAGAAAGTGATTGGCCCATGATCACCAAGCAGGCTTTCTGCCTAAGGCTCAGACAAAAATAAGATCACTCAAAGTATTTAAATCAAACAGATTCTCCAAGCCAATAACCACACTGTGTATTAATAATTTTATTTACGTACAGCAGGCAATACCCCACAGTGATTTGTACATCTGTGTGAAGTATAGCATCAGATTAATAAAACCAGTGCTGGGTTTGTCTGTTTAGTATACAATTTTACTGCTTCTGATGTCAAAACAAAGGAAAAATTGCCATGAATTAAAAGAAAGGAAGGGGGTAATCAAGGATTTTTTATACATAGGAATGCTACTTCCACATACATACAGCCATAAACATGAACTAAAACAAATTACAGTAATGGTTTGCCATCCTTCATACCAGTACACGCTGTAGCCCTTATTATTTCCAACTGTCCCTTCATTACTGCAATTACAGTACAAATTTCATTAATACTAAAATCTTCTGTTTTTTTTTCAAGTAACTCAAGGCCTCCACAGTAATAGCCTGCACTGGACACATATTTCAAATGCTATACAATTAGAATAAAATGTGACATTACCATAGTGCAAGGTAAGAAATACAGGCTAGGTGCCCTTTTCCTGCAGTGAAAAACCAGTCCTGTGGTCTTCCATGAGAAATCCCAGGTTACCCTGTACATAAATCTTGTCAAAAGAAAGACTAATACAATACTCAATATTTTTTATAACTAGTCTACTGCCTCTAAACCTGCATTTAATTCTGTAGTTACCTAAACTTTGTCTAATGTCAGTACCCCAGGCTTCTACTGTATCTGAACACATTTACAGCCAACAGAAAAAGTATACTTGTGTAGAAAAACAGATCTACCACTCAAGCCTTGATCAACACAACAATGAATTGGCTTGAGCCTCTGCTCTGAAAGCAAATAGTTAAAATCAGAGGAGATCAACTTCTCAAGATCTTGCTTAGACATGCAATGAACTTTTGAATCAAGCATAGCAGAAATTTCATTCCAGTTCCAATAACAAACTAAATGACTTGTTCAGGAAGGTTTAATTAAAACAGTGACTGAAGTGGGAGACTGTTATTTTGTAATGAAGATATGATCTCCTAACAATGTTAATCTTAGATGCTTAAGATACATTCAAGGTAAGAAAACCATACATATATCAGGAAATAAAGACACGGGATATTTTTATATGCAATCATTTGTAGCAGCATTTTAAAAGAATCTTACAAAATGTAGCATAGTCTTTTTTTTTACTATTTTAACTATTATTCTCAATAAACAGAAACTAGAAAATGCTTTATGCTATTCTTTAGTCTTAGAGGGCTATTAAATGGGCAGTCTTTCAGACTCTTGTCACAGTATAGATTTTCATTAATGAAAATAAGGATATAATGCTGAAATTTCAATATTATTCATTAAAGGAACATTATCACTCTGCCCCCCAAATTCTTTTGTTTTAACAGAAGAAATAGCTATAAAGAACTCTACACATTCCTGTAGTACACAATTATTTATGTAGACGTAGAGAATTGCTGAATTTAGATGTGTTTGTTTTCCTCCCTTGTAAGTCAATGATAATTAAAGACTCTTCTGAAAAATATATCTGCTCTTACACTAAAAGACAACTAAGCAAAACTTACTCAGGGAGAACTGTATCCAGATCTTACCCTATTTTTAACACTAAAGGATGACTGAATAATGCACAAGATGATATGTATTTTATGTGTTTCTATTCAACCTGCTGGCAAAAGAAGCTAGATTTTCCTCCATCCCTTCAGTCAGTATGGATCTTGCTCTTATAAGCACTGAAACAGAGACAAAATGCTACTAAATATCAATTCTGCCTACTTAATTCCTGTGTAATTTTTCTGAGAATGCCAATAACCTACCAAGGAAAACAGGCTTTCAACCAAAACCACAACAGGACCATATTTATAATATATTAATAGCAAACACTCTGCATTTCTACTCAGGGATAATACAAGTTATTTAATTTTTATTTCAGACTATAGTTTCTCTTCCAATATTTGGCTATTGGTAGATGTAAGGCTTCTTTTCTTGATGTCTAATCTTCAAACACTTAAATGGACAAAAATGCAAAAATATTTGGTTTTCAGCAGCAAAGTAAAAAAACATAAGCACCAAAATATGTATAAAAAATAAAAACAAAAATGAGTTCAAAGCAGATTAATTTTCTTTTCTGTAGTATGTAAAATCAGGGGCTGACATTACTTTAGAATACCAACCTTCTGGAGATGACTATTAAACTCAAACATTCTAATACAATTCATTGTTTTCTCATGTGGTACATTCACTAAAGCAACAAATCTAAAAATAATACAGCAGGGTTGGCAAATATTTATATTTAACAAATATTTTGTTAAAACATTAGTGCTAGTATTAAAGTATGAGCAAATACAATATAATAGGACACTGAAAATGGTGGAACTCATTTTAGTAATAGTAGTTCAGCAACCACCAAAACTTCTCAATAAATAAAACAAGTCTAAAAACAATTGCATGACTCCCCATCAAGCTTGGCTAAAGACCCCATGGGCAGAAATTTTGACACAGGCACAATGTTTTTGCATTTCAGAAAGAATCAATATTAACATTTAGAACCTGCATGTTTGGGAAAAGAGAGAGGGTGGGCAGAGGAAGTACAGAATGGGCCAGCAAACACATTTTGGAATCATCTTCCGTTAGTTAAATGTCAGCTGCTTTATTACAGGCTGCCAAAACCAACTGACTAGAAAAGAACAAAGGAAGGCTCTTTCTGATCTACATCATGCATTATAAACTAGTTCCTAAAATTAACTGCTCCAACTATCATATCGTGATTCTGATTCACACACACCAGCCTAAGAATATACATACACGTACAAAGCAGTAAATGGAGTTGTAACAGTTAAGAATGTGCTTATTCGCTTTTCTGCGTATGTCAGGGAAAAAGGTGGGGTGGAAGGAAAACTCTGGATTAACCATCTAAAAATATGTGCTGAGCACTGGAAATAACTATCAATTTCTGTGCTCAGTTTCCACTGGTCAGCCTATCTGAATTTGATCCAATATTAGTTGACATTTTCTATTTCTATCTTATTATTCACTTTTATATTACCCCAAGTTTCTTCTGAGGCATAGTAGGGTTTCTTTCCTTACCCCCAGAGGTTTGTGGGTCACCCAGGGGAAAAAAAGCGCGGGGGGGGAATGGATTTTTCCAGTGGATTAAGTCTCATTTTCACCCACACAACCAGTTTGAAGTCAAAACCCAGTTTTCCCTTTGGCTCTGTGAAGTCCAGGGTGTGCTGGCACCCATATATCCATTCATGCACACACAAACAGAGAACTCCTTAGAGATTCAGAAAAGAGAGTTAAGAATAAGAACAAATATCTAAAGAGATCCCTGAACTTGCCAGGGTTAGAAGGTTTTTCGGTGGATTGCCCAGGAACTGTCTTCCTCATATTCTTTCTTGGAAACCCACATTTTCTTAAATGTGTCAAGTGAAGCCAGGATGGAGCCTCTGCAGAGGAACAAACACAGGAGTTAGATGCATAAATTTTAGGAATAACTTAAAAATCTTTCTAAAAATATGACTAAACTCATAGTTATCAACCTGTTGTTAATGAAATCTAAAGGATGGCCAGGGATTTTTTTTGAAAAGTATGGGAAACAAATAATCAGCATTTAATTTAAATGATCTAAATCCATCTATCATTTATCTATCATCTTTCTGTCTGTCTGTCTACCTACCTACCTACATATCATCTCTCTCTCTCTCCTATATTATTATTATTATTATTATTATTATTATTATTATTGGTGTTGTTATTCTGAATCAATTCAATGTAGGAAGAGGGCTTTTTCACTGAAGATTGACGGACCAAAGTCAACTACCTGACTTCTATGTCAAAGCAAGGACTGGAACCTGGATCTTCCAACACCTTAACCACAACATATTAAAAAGTTTGTTTCAAACTTCCCCAAAGAGCAATTATTTAACCACGGTAATTTGTTGTATACCATATGGAGTATAAGACTCTAATTCAGAGTCTTCTTAGGTTTAAATGAGTCACTTTTTATTTTAATAAAATGTGTGGATCCATGTAAAGGCAAATAAAAGTACAATTTCTGCTGCAGGAGATGTACATACCCAATCCATGTAGAATATAATCTCTCTTGAGGAGCAGATATCTAGGGATTAAAATAAAAAGTGAGGAAGATTTAGGAAAAGATCTTTATTGTCCATATACCAAACTTACAAAGCTCTTCTATTACAGGCTATTGGATTTCTTTTTTCTAACAGTCCCAACCAATTGATTTGAAAGCCAGAAAGATACTTATTACTGTGGTTGACAATCTGTTCAAATGACTCTTTGAAGTCTAGAGTTGTGCTTACCTGACACACTGAACCATAAATCATCTTTACCACATTTTAACCTAGTGTGTTTATTAACATAATCCCTGATGTTAATTTATGATTGTGTAGGTCATCTAAATCCTGAAAATTCATAAACTATAAGCTGGTTAACCATAGGTAGCTGCATTATACAACCATAGTAATAGTAATTTAACTCTTTCCAAATTAATTTATCACTCTGAACAACTTCAAGAGAGACAATGGTGAGGATTTTGAGATTTATAGTTCAGCAGCATATGAGGGCCACAGAAATCACATTACTGCTTTACAGGTTTCATTGGCAGAATGAAGAGCTGGCTCATTGATAATTCCTCTTTCGACAAGGAAAAGACTTGAGTTTGCCCACAAGTGCTACAGACAGTTGTCCCTCACAATGAGATGACAAGACAGTGGTCTCAGGCAGGTTAAGAGCTCCAAAGGCAAAGGAATAGCCCTCTTGCTCAAACTGCAGTTGGTTCCTTTGAAAAGACACTAAGTTCACATACTTCCTTTTAATCACTTTCAGAAATTTCAGCTATTGGGAACTTTTAGATTGACATATTTTACAAAACTGAGTGAGATCAGTTGTTAGCTAAACATATTTGAACTTCAAATTTAAGAGCTTAAAACAATATTTTTAATAAAAGCAAAAAAGGAGATTAAATCTTTAATTTTAGAAAGTATATTTTTGAGAAACAGATTTTTAAAAAATGAGCGTGAGGGGGAATTAGAAGAAACTAAAGATTACAATTAAAGGAGATGACTCAAACTTAATTTATAAATATAGAACAAAGCAAAATATTTTAACGTTGGACATAACAAAGGGTAATTTTTGAACAATAGATCCCGAAGTTAATTTTACAAGTGTCTGCCTTTATGGATAGACTGTGTCCAAAATAAGTTATGGAACAAGTTCTAGACGAAACTGAGACAGAGTTGAAGGTAGATTTAAAAATGCCAGACTACAAGAATGACACAAAAGTATGTTACAATGGACATGCAAAAAAACCTGGCTGACATTCTAATGATAAAAATGTATTAAAAGAACAAATAAAGAGAGTGACCTGCATAATTTTCCTAACTCTGTCCACAGCCAAGAGTTCAATCCTGACTGTCTCAAGGTTGACTCAGCCTTCCATCCTAAGTAAAATGAGTAAGTAAAATGAGGACACAGATTGGTGGGGGCAATATGATGAATGCTCAGTCATCATAAAAAACTGCTCAGAGAGCACAGTAAAGCACTGTAAAATGGTATATAAGTCTAAGTGCTATTGCTATATTCAATTGACAAAAAGGCTTGTTAAGGTTTTGAAGAATTTTGTGAGAAGAGATAAACAAAAAGTGGGGGAAAATCAAAGGTTTAAAACATTACTTGAAGGAATTCACTCTACTCTTACTTAGAAGTAAAAAGAAGGAATATATGGTTTATTTGAGCAAGGGTAAAATATATATATTGTTATATCTGGCAACCCTTAATTAACTTTTGCTGACATCAGGACTGAAATGACATTTTTATGGATTTGTTTATAAATAAGAAATGGGATATGGAAAGAAGAGATGATTTGATGTATTTTAAGAGAAGGCAATAAGTTATTAAAATTGTTTGTAGTTATGATGGTGGTAAGTCACTTCTGCATATATTTCTTTACTTTTCCTCTACTATACTTTTTTCTTTTCTATTTTCTTTATTTTGTGTACCTTCTGCTCTTTTATTCTTTTTTTCAGTTTGTATTAATTTTTATTGTTGTAATCGTGTTAATAAAATTACAGTGAACAAAGAACATATTGTTTGGGTGATATCTGAGTAGATGATAGTTAAAACAGAGTATGGTAGGTTTCTTAGGTCCTTTAATGTGAGGATTATATGGTTGTAACGTGTCACCCCCTTGATCACCAGGGTTGAATCTGCTTATCTAGCTGGTATCCCCTTCCTCCTTCATTGCTCCATGTGCATCCCTCCCGCAGTTGCACAATTGGTGGAAAAGAATATCCATCCCAGATAGGAGTGTACTGATCTTCAGGCAAATGTTTACAATAGTTGTGCTCCCCTGCTACAACCTCCAAACAAGCTCTACATACCCTGATTTTGACATCTTTAGGGGCCAGTTTCTTTACTTCACTTAGAAGCCTATCGCCAAAACCTGAAATTATAAGCAATAATTTCAGTTAACAACCTAGGGTATTATAAAGTAATCTAGGTTTCCTGAAAACAAATCTAGAATCAACCAAACAATCTCTGAAACAACATCTACATCTTCTTCCTCAGTAATAAAGGAATACATGAAATGTATTAATAATAAACTTAACCAGGGGATCCCCAACCCCCAGGCCATGGACAAATCTGTGGCCCTTTTGGCAACCAGGCTGTGTCTGTTGTCAACTAGGCTGTGCAAGCGTGCAAAGCTTCAATTTGCGCTTGGGTAGGACCTAGGTTGAGCATGCAAAACCATCCCCTCCCCCCTGCTGCCACCACCTCCGCTACTGCTATTGCCGGCCCGTGGAGCCAGAAAGGTTGGGGACCGCTGAACTACACGGATCAGATCAATAATAGAATAGGAAAAATCATTTAAGCACACAAAAACTGCATTTCATTAATATTAAAAAAGAGACTTATTGGGAAATGCTATGACTATTTTCCCAGAAATATGTGAATCTAGCCTGCGGACTTCCAGTTCTTCCAACAGGGCTGGAAGAAGATTTTTCTGGAAACATTTTTTGCCTACTTCCAGGAAAAAGAATTACATGGAGTGCTGCCATTATTTACTCCCAAGAAGCTAATATTATTTTCAATAGCTTCAAAGAAGATGAGGGGACAAGTTTAAAGTTAAGTTCAAACCCCACATGTTTATAAAGTCAAATAAGCATCAGAAGGAACCTTTGAAGAGCGTGGAGCCTCCGGAGAGCACAATGTTGGAAAAGAGAGTTCGCCTTAAGTCCATATCAGACTTCTGAATTGCAAAAACCAGAACTTCATGCAATCCCTCACATTCTTCTCCAATCAGATCTGGACGGAACAGTAATTCAGGAGCCCTGAATCGGGCAGGACCAATCTGCAAAGAGAACAAGAATGTCGGGATTCTGGTTTGTATATAGGAATCTTATTTCCCAGATTGAAAAACTGTGTCACATGAATATTCTTACGCTCATACAAAGACTTTCTTCCCGCCCCACTAGTCAAATCTAAAAGGACCCTTAAACATAATAAGAAGCGCAGAGTCAAGGACCTCCTCCTCTTCGGTACGGTGGCGATGAACTCATATAAATTGCTCTCTTTTAAGATTCTACAGTCTGATGCTGTCCAAATGTTTTGGACAACTCCAACACAAGGTCAGCTTTTTCACTGACATATCAAGAAGGTATGATGAGAACTGAAATTCAAAACATTTGAAAACTGGTAGATTTCACATTTTATTCTACAACTTTGAGTAAACGAAACTACAAAAGCTCTTATTGTAAAGAATACAATCTTACCAAGATTGTGTCAGATGACTGACACCAAAAGTATCAGTCATACCAATCCACTGAGATACAAAGGAGAAGAGGAGGGAATGGTAACTCAAAATAAACGAAGAGATGATTAAAAGATGAATGAACTTAAGTCAAGACCATTTATATTCTAGAATCCTGAAGGAGCCTGCAGGTACTGTATCACTTCAGAGCCCTTTCCCATGAATTCTTTAGGGAATATTTAAATTATGTGAAGTTTTAACAAACCTCAATGGTGCTTCCATCAGGAAGGTAATATTGAGCTTTTTCAGTTTCTAAAGTTTCATCCTTCTGAGGGTTTATCGACAGGTAGCAAGCCCGCTGTGGAGGAATGACAAGCCAAGATAATAATCATCAACATTCCAACAAGCAGCCCACGGTAAGACAATGTTCATTTAGACACTCCACATGTACTGTCATTCAATAGTTTTTTGCCTTTTGGAATTGTTTTTATTTCCACCTCTAACATGCAAGGAGCCTCACCATCCAAACAATGTCATAAAATTGTTAACCATTTGGTGATTAAAAATGAAAAATTCTAGAAAATTTATTAATAACCAGCAGTTCTACAAAGAAAATCCAGAGAAGCAAAGCTCTCCAGTAGACATTATTTTGTGGAATACAGATGAATCTATAAGATGGAGTTTTCAATATAAATAGCCTCATTCAGCAATGATACAAAGGACATAAAAGAGCTTTTGTAGTGTATTTCCCTTACTACACCAAACAGCAATTCTGTAGTAAAACAGTATATCACCTCCTTCCAGCTGATCACATAGTAGATGGTAAGGTAAAGGTTCCCCTCACACATACGTGCTAGTCGTTTCCAGATCTAGGGGGCGGTGCTCATCTCCGTTATAAAGCTGAAGAGCCAGCGCTGTCCAAAGACACCTCTGTGGTCATGTGGCCGGCATGACTAAACGCCAAAGGCACACAGAACGCTGTTTTCCTCCACACGTCCCATTTTTTCCCTCCCCAATATCCAGAAGCACTCTGCAGGCCAAAAACGGGCCCATTTTTGGCCTCCCAAACCCTCCACATGTCCCATTTTCAGGGAGGGCAAAAATGGAACCCGCAGAGGCAAAATATTTTCCAATTATTATTGCTGGCCAAAAATTGGCCCGTTTTTGGCCTGCAGAGTGCTTCTGGATACCGGGGAGGGCAAAAACAGGACATACGAAGGGTTCGGGAAGCAAAAAACAGGCCCATATTAACTCTATAGGATGCACAGACATTTCTACCCACCTTTTGGGGGGCGGGGGGAGTGTGTCTTATAGTCCGAAAAATAAGGTAAGTCACTTTTCTCAACCTGGAGATTGCCACTGAGAACTGGAAGATATCAAGTTGAAGAAGTGGAACAACCCCATATGATTACTTTATGATTACAATAAGGTACACAAAACTCTCAGAATATACGATTAAAATGGTTTATTAGTACACCAGAATGGCATATTCTGAGTGTCTCATGTACATTATTGCAGTAATCCTGTAACATAAACTAGCTCTATTATCTGAGGCGAGTTGCTTGAATGACTAGAGAAATTATACTTTTAGTAGTGCTACTTCAATTGTAAAATTCACTCTTCAGGGAGGCTTATCTAACCCTATTTTGTTATAATTTTAAGATAAGACTTCTGCAATTTTCCAAGGCTGAATCTTGCTTGCTTTCTTCCTTTATGTGAAATTTCAACTTTTTGTAGTGTTCTACAGTGCTTTAATTTTATTAATATTGTGAGCAACCTGAGAAGGACAACTTGTAAATATTAAGAAACTAAAATAGAGTTTCTATGTTTTAAACACATAGATAAAGAAGTAATGCCTTTCTAGAATAACCTAGTAGCTTAATTATGGAACAGAAATTGGAATGAAGTAACTGTTTTCCACTCATTTTCTCAAGTATCATAATATAACATAACCATTGACTGTTGTAGTTAAAGTTTTTATGTCAAAGTTGAAGTATCTATTAATAAGAATTAGGCACATCTTCTTTGTTATCTTTGGCTTTTGTAGAGCTCAGAAATCCTTCTACATAAGGAAAGTTTATAGTCAGAAGGGCTAAGAATCCTGGATATACTTAACTCTCTGGTAGCTTTCCCAAACAAGACCTGGCAAACAGCTTTGTCTAACTCCGATTTTTATTGCTATGATGTTCCTATTGCTTCTCTAGTAAACAAATTCTGTATTCCTGACCTAACCCTAGCCCTAATCCTGATCCAATGTTTAAACAGACAGCGAAAGCTTGCATATTAGCCATAAATCTTCTGATCTACCAGTGACAAAATCCTTGACTTGATGTAAAATACAATGAAATTTGATCCTAAAGATTAGTATATTTGCTATGCTGTGTGTTTTTAAAATTGTTATCTGGACTCAGACACCAGCTAATAATTTAAAAGGATTATATAATGGAATACAACCTTTTTAGAAAGTGATATTTACGGAAATGTCTGAAGGCTTTTCCTGTTTTACCTTTTTTAACAAAAGAACTCCCATATATAGGCAAGAAGCCAAGGTAAGAATATTCTATTTGTTTTTTAGATGGGATAGCTTTCTAAGCACCAAAGGTTTCTGATAAGCATGATAATTTTAAAAACTGCAATCTTGTGTCTACTATATGAATTTGTACAATTACAGAAGAATTAGGACTGTAATCATATCACTTCTCTGAACATAGTGATTGGATTGAGATTAAAGTAGAACTAAGGGAAGATAGCCTTCAAGAGCCAAAAGAAAGCAGTTCTGCACCATAGATGTAATTTAAACGGGCTCATTTCCCCATCTTTTCTTGTAATCTGGATAGACATTAGCAAATGCTTTGACATATATCAGCCGTAACTGCTCAATCCACCCTCCTCTGCTCAGTACCTTAAAACAGAAGAGACCCCAGAATCAAAAACAAAGGGCATCCATGCACCTCTTTTATGGTTTTGACGATCTCAAATTCAGATGATGTATGGAAGTCATAGCCTTCCTTCCGGAGATAGAGGCGAAGAAAACGAGAGACATCACGGCCAGCTATGTCAATTCGCATAATGGAATGGGGCATTGCAAAACCTTCATAAATAGGTACTGCATGGCTGACCCCATCCCCAGAGTCCAACACCACCCCTGTAGTTCGTCCTGTTGCATAACTACAGAAAGGAGAAAATCAACAGTATTTGACGGATAATCTGTAACACTTCCAAGAAAGCAATTGCCCCAGCATAATTCTATTCTAATGTACCTAGAAATAACTAAACAGCAATCTTTATGATAGAAAATCAGTGATAGTAAGTGATGTATTATTACATCAATAATGTAATACTGATGTAATGAAACATCACTTATCATCAAATTAAAACAGAGGAAATTATAAATTCACTATGAAGAAGTGTGGCATTGGGCCAATTCTCCAGAATACTAACAGAATGGATTTTTACTGCTTCTTCTGTATTTGCCTATGATATAAATCTCTTCATTTAATTGTAAAGACATCTTTGAGAAAATCTTTTTTTTTTAAATCAAGGTGCATATTTAGTTAGAAATAAGTCTCAATGAACAAAATATATTTGCGTGTGCATGTAGAAAATCTCCTTGATCATTTCACGTACGAAGCAATGCAATAAATTGCAAAAATTAGTTTCTCTTCCAGGTTGGGCTTTAAAACTGGTATAGGCAAGATACTTACAGACTAAGCACAGCTTGCATAGAGATGAATAGAGCTGGCACATTGAAAGTCTCAAAGAAAACCTCAGCTGCTCGTTCACGGTTCTTACGAGGATTCAGCGGTGCTTCCGTCAAGAGCACAGGATGCTAGTGATTAGGAACACAAGTTAGCCATTACTCCATGGTCAGTGGAGACTTCCCAAGTTTTCTAGCATAAAGCTTTAACAGTCTTTTTCTTCTTGTATCTATGCATTTGGAAGGCTGATCCAACCAAAAGGGGATTGTGAAGTAATTCTTATACTAGGACTACCATATGCAAACTGCAAAAATTAAGATGACCATAGATGGTAGCACATAGCACTTTCTAGTATTTTTGGAGTCCAGACATGGTAACCTTACATATAATAAATAGCTACCCATCATGGATGAGGAATTTGTATTATCAATATATAGTCAATATGACCAATGGTGAAGAAGGCTTGAAAGTTGTAGTTATGAACATTTGCAAAACTATAAGTTCCCCTTCCATTCAGGTATAGGTATATACATATCTCTATAGATTAAGCACTTGAACTTAATAGCATGTCAGCTCTGCCCAGAGCAATATTTGGATAAGAAACCATGAGAATTGTTATGAGCTGCTACAAAAATAACCTGAGAATTTGGACAAAATAATATAAAAAGTTTTATATCCTTTCTCTTTTAGAAAGAACCTCATGAAATAAAGAAATTTGCCTTAACCTCACTCGTGGATCACAAAGGTAGCAACTACAAAGAGCCTATATTACCTTCCTCCCTACAATAAAGAATTCAGCTGAAGAAGAAAAGATGAGTTATGCTTTTGCCTATTTCTATTAACAGATACAGGAAGGCGGCAGTTATAGGATCCTGCACAAGCAATAACTTCACCACAATGAATACAAATGCCTATTCCCAATACCCATTTTATTGTTATTAGAAAATTGATCCCTTCTACTATTTGCATTTACCCACCTTTCAGATAGATAGATAGATAGATATTGTAAGTCTTAAACTAAGAACTTCCCTTCCCCTCTTCCAAAACTGTCTCAAATGACAAATAGTGCCAATTATAGCACTGAATTAAAAAAAAATCAATTAGACCAAAATTCATTTGAGTAAATAGTCAAATAATTGCGTTATTAGAATATCAGTATAAGGAATAACCTGAGAGGGCTAAATAATATTAGGAAAGGATGATGTATGCTACCCAAAAATTCAATGGGGAGATTCCCACATCCATTATTTGATATAGGAAGAAAATTTCAAATGAGTTTTAGCCACTGCTTCAAACTGATAACAACTTTGCAGAATCTATTATGCTAAAAGAGTTCTTACTAATTATTGTCTGATTCATAAAGTAATTCAAATGAGACTAAAAAATGTACAGTGGACACAGATATAAAAATAGCTCTTTTTAAGCACAGGTTTAAATGAATTTTTTTCCTCTAGTTATGGTAGACAGAGGAGCTATTAAGTTGAAAGCCACGGTGGCGCAGTAGTTAGAATGCAGTACTGCAGGCTACTTCTGCTGCCTGCAGGCTGCCTGCAATTTAGCAGTTCAAATCTCACCAGGCTCAAGGTTGACTCAGCCTTCCAGCCTTCCGAGGTGGATAAAATGAGGATTCAAATTGTTGGGGGCAATATGAGACTCTGTAAACCGTTTTGAGAGGGTTGTAAAGCATTGTAAAGTGGTATGTAAATCTAAGTGCTATTGCTATTGAAAGGCCATGCTTGTGTCCCCTGATATATTAAATCAGAAAATGTTAATCCATTTTTGTTAAATATATTATAATGACTGAAGTCACAGATTACAACATCTTACAGTTGTTTGGTTTTGACTTAATGTAATGCACAATTTCAGCCATGACATACTCAATAAACTACTGCTTATTCTCTGCATGAATCTAATATTCCGATTCAGGCTAAGCCAAAATAAATTGGTACATATTCTTACATAATACCTATTCTCACATTGTCAATATGGAGCAAATCGCAATATTGCTTGGCACCATGTGTATAAGACTTCAGGTTAGATATGACTATAAATCCCTACTCTTCCTGAAACTCATCACCACATTCAGAAATAAGCTAACAGCAGAAGCTTCACTCCTAGAAATGTATACTCCTAGATAATTTTCTAGACATGGAAGACGATCAATATGCTCTAAAATGTATGTACACTCTTGAATTAACTCTTGGCTGTGCTTTTCCTAGCCATGAGATTGGAATGCACCTGGTGGGCTTATAAAACAGCTGTCTCTGGTCTTTCCAGTTTAATTCTTACCTTGTGAATCTAACCAATAAAATGGTTATCCCTTGTGAAGTGAATTGAACAGAATAAAAAATACTAATTGAATTGGCATTGAGATTGAAAAGCAGACACAGGTTTTTCTCTTATTTGGTACTCTGGAGCTTAGAGAAAGAAAGGTAGCTCACTTCTTCAGAGAATGTCTGGAGTTGATCTTTTGAGTACACATACTGCCAAATGCGCTCCATATCATTCCAATCCTTCACTATACCATGTTCCATTGGGTACCGTATAGAAAGAAGACCTCTATGTTCCTTAAGAAAATTAAACAAGATAGCCAATCAGTCAGAGAAGGAGATATATAAACATACATTGAGTTGCTGACAAGATTCCCAAATATAACAACCACTAAATTTACAATGGAAATCACACTTGTAAACATAGCAGAAGAAATGTGTTCATCATGCAACAAACCTTTATTTTTATCATAACAGCAACTGTGTGGTTGATATATATGTGTTCATAATGCATATGTTTCATTCTGTATAGATATATGTTTATTATTACTATAATCCATTTGAGTTCATTCAGAAATACAAATATAAGTCTAAGCAAATGGCTAGAACCCAATCTGTTTATTAGAAGGAACATAGCAACGATAAATATCAGACTCTGTTTAGTTGAAAAGCATAGGCTGTTTCTCAATTTCTGGTGACGCTAAAAAAAGAATAAAAATCCAGTCAAATCAATATAGTGATCTTACCTCTGCTTTTGGACCAATGAAAATGTCACCTTCCAAAGCTCCAGCCATAACTCGGACATGCTTTGGTCTGCCAACACTGAAATAAGTACCACAAAAGGGAAAAACCAGATCTGAGTTCAAGTATTCACTCAGGAAAGGCCATTCTAGAATTGTTAGATTAAGGTGCTGCAGCCTGAACTGAGTGGTTGAGTTTAATATCATAGGATGTTTTATTTTATCCCTGGTTATTAAATAAGCACAATGTACACATCACATTAATGCTTAAATCTGGTTCATGCTACAGAACTAATCCAATATCAACTATCTTCAAAATCCACCATAGGATTAATGAAGAAAGTACTTTGTTCTGCTTCTTATAATAAGCTAAAGGATTCTAATTTGCTGCAAGCAGCAAATTGTAAATATCCTTAAAATTCCAAATCCATGAGAAGGTATTTCTGAGCCTCCCCAAACCCTCAGTATTAAGGGATTCTTCATCCTATAGGCCACGTAATAGCCTAACTGAAGCTATGCACAAAAAATGTGTGTGTTCAACTGCCAGAGCCAGCATAAATTAAAAGTCTCAGGCTGCTTCTTGCAAAAAATGTTCACAGTAGGAAATTATGGATCAGCAGCCAAAATTATGAGAATACTTACTAGTTTGGAAAGCAGTATTTAGGTATTTGATCACCTGCAAAGCCAGCTTTAATCATGCCAGAACCCTGTTGGGATAAAAAATAAAGACCATCAGGTGAAATGAGATAATTATTCATGAGCATCTTGGCTCCAAAACTATGAACACACAACAGTCCAAATTTAGCACCAGCCTTCTTTTTGAGACCCTTCAATGAAAACTTTACCCAATAAATTCCAGGATTAAAACTGTATGACCTGTTAGTGAATCTATGTGACCACTAGATGGAGCACATTCCATTATCACACTTATGCAGCCTCAGACCACCCAAGAATAATTTCTTTGTGTGGGACAAAAGGTTTTAGCTTAGAACTAGATAGTAAGACAGAAGTACAAGAAACAGGAAAGATCCAGTAAACAGCACTGAATCACATCACCCTAATAACTTACAGAACACTGAAGCATTTGCCCCTCTGTATAGGAATTTATGAAAATAATATGCCAGATGCAGCTCGGTTCAAATAGCAAACTTGCCAGGTTGAAATCGTGTTGGCTTATTTAGGACTCAGTGGCAGGATTTGCAGGAGATGTTAAAACTTTAGTAAGTAAATAATGGTTAATTTGACTGTGGATAAACATGCTATATGAACATAGCTTTGAAAATAATAAAATTTCAAGTGAGTCAAACCAGAATCCTGGTGAATTTATGCACATGTTCATATTCTTTTCTAAGCAATAATAGAGAAATTACTTGCAATTGCCTTCTTCTAAGATTTTTTAAAAATTGCCTATGATAATTTACAGCAAACTTTGAATAATAAAAAATAACCTATCTACTGTGTTGTGTAAACAGGTCTTTAAAATAAGTTTTAACAGCTGTGCCGAACAAAATCAAATATCTTTATTAAGGTCTGACCAGCTTTTACAATTAAAAATACAGTAAAACAAAGGTTTAACACAACTATTAGTCATTAGGGAAGAGGAAAAAAATAATGGGATAGTACAACAGCATGTCTAATTAAACATTTTTTGTGAAGTTGTGTGAACTTGGTAAAAAAAGAATGGCCACTTTATATATAAGTGTTGGGTTAGTGTCCCTTAAAAAATAATAAACATAAAATTTACCTGCATGGCCTTCATGTTTGGAAATGATTGGTGCAATCAAAGCCTATTTGGGGGCATTGTACAAGGGGCATTGTATGAGAACATGGGTGAGTTTCTACCTTCCTAGAACCAGAAGGTAGTTCAAGTCTCTGTGAATAAGGGATCTCCATGAAATCTTCCAAGTGGGGCCAATGTGACTGCATCAAAACAGACTCTAGAAAAGGCCCATCTAATTTTGCTTAGTGTTAAAACTGTTGGAAGTATCCCGCAATGGAGGACTTGTGATAATCTAAATGCCGATAGGATTCAGGGCACTAGTGTTAAATGCAGAACAAAAAGATTCTAACAGTCTTCCAGAAATTAAAGAAAGGCAGAAACAGATTAACTTTTACAGGGAAGGAATCCATCTCACCACAGAAAAGGCTCTGCTCCCTATTCCCAACTACCTAGCCTTTTTCAATTAATTTAGCATACAGAAGAATCCCTGAATCACATCATATATTAACATTACAGACCTATTCTTCTAGCAAGCAGTTTTTCCTATAACCTGGTTGTAAACCATGTGGAAATTTATAGGTACAAAGTCACTATTTTGAACTGTACCAGAAAACAAAAAAGGCTGCTGGGCAGTGAGTTTATAACCCCAAACTCCATAAATGATTGAACATAACATGGAAATCTGAGGGTTTACTGAGATGAATACTAATTACCAATTACTAAATCCTATCTTCCAGGGTTCAAAGATGTATGCATCACAGCAGTATCCATTAAAAAAAAAAACCAGAATAAACGCTTTGGATCACAAGCGCAGCCCTTGTCTACTGGTATTTACTGAACTGATTTGAGGCGCTCTCTGAGCTTGGCTGTTTTCTTGAAGACGGTTCATTACCCAAGCTAGGTAAACATCCTTCATTAGTGCTAGCCTAGCCTAACTCCAAATATTCTCTTTTCTTGACCCTTCCTTTCGCAGGCTTTTGCCTAAGCTTGGGGAAAAAATTGCAACGTTTAATCATATGAGCTTGATTCTTAATGCGACGTTGTTTTTTTTCAGGGTCACAGAGAAATCTGAAAAAAAAAAAACGAGAGAAAGAAGCCTGGACTGGATCTTTAAAAAAAAAAAGGTTTCCCCACTGCACTCCCTGTTTTACAGAAAGAGCAGCGCTAGCGATACACAGCAGTAAAAATACACCAAGGCAAAAATGAAGGATTGCTAGGCAGCTTTCCGCGGGCCCAGCTACCCAGCCCAGGCCATTCCCTCGCACGCTTTGACAGAATGAGCGGGTCAGAACAAAACGGAGCCCTTAAAGGTCAAAAAGAACGAGTAGCGGAGCAAACGCGCCAATAATCGTGCACGAACTCTCCGAAAAGGCGGGGCGATCTCCCTCGCGAAACGCGAACCGATGACGCTGCAACGGGAATCTGCCGAGGGGGACCAATCAGAGAGCGAGGAGCTCAACAGGGCGTGGATTTACCTGCTCTGTTGTTCTGCGGGCTGCGCCGTTCTACTGTTGAATGGCAAAGGCATCGACCAACGAGAACGTGGGCCTGGGTCATCGAGGAGGAAAGAGCCCAACTTCGGTGGGCTATGGCTAGGGAGAGTGGATTGCCCGAAGGCGGGGCGGAAACAGAAAACCACGGGCTAACAGATCCGCTGACTGGTTTCTATGAGGAGCAAAATGCCCACCGTGCCAATCTCCCCCGCCCCCACCTTCTCACACCGCAGAGACAGAATTACGCTCGGACTCACATTATCAATCACCACCGGCTGATTCGCGATCACATCGTAGGATTCCATGGCGAGCGCCTATGCGCCGCCGGCGACACCCACTTCGGTTACTGCCAAGCAAGCGACAGCTCAGGGGGCAGAGCGCATGCTCAGAGCACAGGCAAAGCTTGCCGGGAAAGCGAGTTTCTATAGAAATTACCATATCTGGCGCTTACCCCCCTCCCCCAATGAGTGGGTGGATGAATGATTGAATCTATTTATTTGTTCTAGTAAGTTAGAGTACCGATTTGCAAAACTATTTTTGTCCTGGAAAGGAATAAAAGGTATTTATAATCAATGAAGAAATCGTAAGATTTTTGATATCAGCATATCAGTTTTAAAAAACCTCTTTCACACGCATATTGAATGCTGTATGTGCTGGTGCAGATATACTGTATATAATATATTAGGGTTGCAATATTTAGTCATAAAGAAATCCAGAAAACTCTAGCCACTTTGCAGCCATCTAGTGACTATATGAAATATTTGGAGACCAGTTATGATAGGGCTAATGTACCTTGTATTTTTTTCAAGTGTTTAGTGGTCCACTTAATATAAATTCCAATGCAAATACAGCGATTATCCCTTTATTCGGATTCTTGTAGCTTTTCCCCTTTTACTATGCAAGTAAAGGACTGTTATAATACATTTGTAGATTTCACTAATTTTGGGGGGCTGAACTGCTTTCACTTTTGATATGGGGGAGGGAAAGAAAAAATTAGGTCTTATCAGGACAAAAGGTCAGAGGATGTTAATATCTTTTGGATGTACTGCATTCAATTATTTTATTTCAGTTCATAGAAGGAATTATACTTCTCTTCTATGGAAACGTTTATATGGTCCACTGCAGTGATGTGAACAAATGTGACACTTAAAGTAAAGCCCCTCTTAGTTGCCACATTCATTCATAACATTAACTGAAATGCATCCACTTGGGCTGCACATACTTTAACAACTGGTTTGCTGAAAATGTGAGTGTGTGTGCGCACCCCCCCTTCAGAATTCCCCATATCTTTGGAATTCTCTGGGTAGAGAACATAAGATGAACCATCCTTTTAAAAATCTCACATATATACATCTATTAAAGAGGTGGAGGCAGAAAATTGCACAATACATGTTGAAATGACTCCCCAACTGCAAGCAATTTTTAAGACAAATCCAGCCTAAGCTACTGGTAGTATTAAAATGTATTTCCCAATGAATTGTTAGGAATGTAATCCTCATAATTCTGTATCAGTGTGTGGTTAGATTTTCACATTTTAAACAAAAATCTAATGGTTAACAAGTCACAATGATTTTATTTGCTGCAGCACACTAAGCACAAACAAGCATATTTATATAAAGATTACATATGTAATTACATTTATTATATTAGGTATGAATCACACCACTTGAATAAATAGGGGGTGGTTGACTGGGAAAAAAGGCCTCATTCCATGCTATCCATCTCCTTGGTTCTGGTTTTTGCATTAGTTTTAAATTTTTAATGTGCACAAATTTAAATTATTAAATGCTTTTCTATTCATCCTTTTACATTCTATAAACTCCCCAGAATCGCCCTACCGGGGAGATGGACAACATTCAACATAATAGAATAACTTTATTATCACTTTAAATGTACACCGATCTGCATGCAATAAAATGACATTTCGTTGCATATAGGGTCTCTCAAAGGGTCACTACCTCCAATATACTGTTTCTATACTGCAATCGTGGATGATTCCTTAGGAGATAAAACTCTCTTCACCCTAGGCTGGATTCATACAAATCTTCTTTAAAACTCGGATTTGATAAAGGAAGCAGAGTTCCCCTGGATACACACACATGGCAAGCTATGTCCCAAAGGTGCTTTTTTTTCTAGAGGCAACTGAACTTTCCCAGAAAGTCCAGTTACTTCTAGAAAAAAACAACCACCACCGTTTGGACAACCATGACCTGGATGCCTGAGAATCCCCAAAGACACATTTCAAGCTAGCAATTCAATGACGGCTTGCCGCGCGACATCCCTCCTTCTGCCCACTCCGGGCAAGAAAGCGTCAGCAATGCGAGCTAAGCGACGCCAGAGGTCAGAAACGCGTCGGCGGAGAAGGGGGTGGGACACCGGGTGGAGGCGAAGGTGGGATTATGTCAGCCTCGTCTTCCACTACAGTGTGATTGGCGAAGTCGGTGGCCTATCAAGACTGGAGTCGGGGTGAGTGGGGGGACGCTTTTCTCCTGCTGCTGGGCCCTGCCGGGGTCGCGAAAGGAGTTTGGAGCGACCTTTGGTTTGTCTGCGGGGGTCGGGATCGTCCCGTCCCCCCACCCCCGCCACCCGCTCCGAGCGACGTCGCTTCCCTCCGTCCTTCACGGGTTCCCTCATGGAGACCGTCGCCCCTGTTGCTCCTGGCCCCGGAGCGGGACCGTTTCCCTCGCTTTTCCCCCCGGGGCTACACGGGATCTACGGCGAGTGCCGGCGACTGTACCCGGAGCAGCCCAATCCCCTGCAGGTCACGGCGATTCTCAAATACTGGTGAGTGGGAAGGGTGGAGAAGGAGCTGGTTCCGATTCGAAGGCTTGTTCCGCGGGTGACTTCGGGGAACGATCGCGGCATTTTGGGAAAGAGGCCTCGGGGTCTCCTGACCGAGTTTGGGCCTGGGCGAGGGGGACCGGTGGGCGACAAAGGGCGAGGGGTCTGGCTCCTTGGACGCGGTCCGCCGAGGTTGGAAAGGTGATAAGTGTGCGCGCGCGTGTGTGTGTGTGTGTGTGTGTTGTGAAGGAGGATCTGTCGGAGAACTGGGAGTGGCTAAGAGTAGTAGAAGGGTCTTAAGTTTTGGGGTCGCTTGTGGTACAGTACTTGGGTGGGAGATGGTTGTTTTGGGGGAGAGGAGGAAAAGTTGTTGGAGCGGAAGATACCTTATTAGAGCACCATGGCATCATGCTCAAAACCTTGTGGCAGCGGTTTGGGAGTTGTGGTCCAAAAACAGTGAAATGACACGGGATTCTGGCCTGCATTCAAATCTAAATCCTGCTCGGTTGAAACCCAGATTTTAAAAATGACTCCGAATTATAAATTGTAATTATTTATGGGTTAATATCCTGATTCATGTCTGTGTATGAAGAATAGGGGAGTGTTTGGAGAAACAGCTTGAGCGGATAAAGGGTTTACATTTTGTTAAGCTGAATTTTGCGTGCAACATAGATTGAAGGAGGAATTGTTCTTAAATTTTGCCATATTTTGAATAAATATAAGAAACTATTGGAAGCCCGAAGACCTTTATTTTTAGTAAGGGCAATATTGATAAGGTTCTGCAATTTTCATAAATGAATGCATGTCTTTTGAGACAATCCTTTATATTCATTACATCTTTAAGAGTTGGGTTTTGCATATTATTGCTAGCAATAAAGTGAGTGGACAGATGATTTCCCTTGCTAAATATTAAATATTTAAATAAATAAATAGTTAAATATTTAACATTTAACTATGTTCCACACTACTTCTATTTCTTTTCTCATCTTATCATATGCAGTGAGATTCACACACATATTTTTCCTTTTGACTTAAATCATGTCTGAGTCTTAGTGTGTCCATCTAATGTTACACATAGCTTTAAGAAAAAAACAAATGTTTTGTGAGCCCAATCTTTATGTTACTTTGCTTGTTTTTCAGTATTGACTACACTTTCCCAAATAGATAATTTCTGAAATTGTGAAACTATGTTTTCAGGTTGGATTATTTGTTTTGCTGATGTAGTTAGGCAGCAGTTGTGTCTATACATGAAGCATCTACTCTTTGCATTAGCAGTGGTTTCATTCTGTCATATCATCTCAATTTTTAAAATATACGTATAATCAAAATGTTACTGCCTCTCCCAATAATGTGCTTTCAAAGTGGCAGCCTGCCTGGCAGCTGTTAGTGACAGCCTGGCAGCTGTCACTGCAAAGCTGTAGGAATGCTGCCTGGCTTGTCAATTCGTAATATAACCAAGGCAATTATTATTTATTATTACCTTTATTGTCAGAGTACAACCTGTATACAATGAGAGCGTCTGAGCCTCCCTTCATGCACCCTCCCCCAAACACAACTCACAGTGAGGACAGAAGTCCCTAACCCAGTCCCAATCTTATTACACTATGTGACCTTTTTGCACAACGCGCCAGCCCCGCAACTCTATCATACTATGTTGATATGAAGTTATTTTCTATTCAGAAGTCTTACAACCCATGAGTAGTCAATGATTTCATAAATTGTCTGGTACTGGCCACCTATGGTTTAGGCCAAATTAGGTTAGTTTGTGCTTCACAGACATGGCCAATGTTCTGCACATACCGTGACTGCCATGGAAGAAATAGCTGGAGAAAGGGAATTGAAGTATTGTAATCACATTTCTGGATTGAAATAGTGCTATCAATAAATAGTAGGAAAAAACCTGAAGTTGAGAAAGATGAGTTTGCTTGGACTTATAAATGTTTTGAATTCAAATATTGCTGCTGTTTAATACCAAGGTCATGAAGAGTTTGGGACCATGGAAATAAGAATACTTCTGTAACAGGTAGCCCTTGACTTGTGTCTGGTTGCTAAGTGACTGTTCGAAATCACAGTGGACCCCGAAAAAGGGACTTAAGACCTGGATTCAAAGTTCTGATGTTCCCTTCCCTTCAGAGAAAGGACCTGGTAATCTGCCCTTTACTTGTCTTGATTATTGAAGAAGATTTAATATTTTTATATTAGTTAGTAGTATCAGCTTAATCCTCTGTGTCTGTTGATTTCCAGAGCCAAAGTGCTGTGATTGTCCCAGGTGGAGCTGCCTGTTACTCCTTTCTCTCATTAGTCTCTCCAGTGATGGACAACTTTGTGAATTAAATATTTACTTAATGTGAGCCTGGAATCAACCACAGCCTGTAATTTTAGACTTCGTTTCACACAAAGGATGCTTTGGGAAACTATTGAGTAACTAGGTTTATTATATTTGAAAAAATTGTTAGTTTGCAAATAGATATCAACAAAATCTTAAGGACAGCATGTCTGCCTTGGTTGTAGGGTATGTCAAATTTTTCAACTTTCAATTTCCAAACAATAGGGGTTCTCAAAAATTGTGACATGCTTTGGGGATTGTAGAGATATTTTGATTATTTTAATATAATTTAGATGTGCTTGGTCAGTAACTATATACGTATCATAACTTTTTAACATTTTGTTGATTTCATTCAGTAACTAGGATGAGCTAATTGAACACTACATAATTGCAGTACTACTCTATTTTTAATTTTTTAATATATAAATTTAGGGAAACAGAAACCAGAATCAGGTAATTCTCCTTCATGCTGCATCGAGAGCCCAGGATGGGGTTGACTCCTTATGATGTCATTTAGCTGAGAGACTCAGCTCCTTTCAGTCAGTAGCTGTATCTCTGAAACCGTTCTGTTAGATAGCAATCACCAGCGATCTTCAGTACTTTTTTTCCTCGCTTCAAGCAGCTTCTAGGGATCTGGGCAGCTGCTCTTCCAGGAGAGCAGGGCTCTCTCTTCCGCAACATTGGGAGCAGCGTTGCCAGAGCACTGTGCAGGCAAGCTGGGCAGCATCTAGAGACCTCCCCCACGCCTGTGGTTTGAGCGATCGTAAAAACGATCAGCAAACCGATAAGAGCTCCAGCCAGCTGATCGTGTGGCCGGCAGATGTGTTTTCCTTTGCTGACTTTGCTTGGGGCTCTTTATAGCCTAAGGAACAATTCTTCAATCTCGGAGCCTGTTTCCCCTAGTCAGTGGCCATCTTGGATTGAAGCCTTCCACCACGAGGTGAACGGCCATTTTGTAAGCCCGGAGGCCATTTTATACCCTAAAGGACCTAATAAGAATTTCTAAACAATTTCTTTCCAACGAAAGAGCATTTATTCTACAAAGGGAGCAAGATAAGGCTCAGACAGAGCTCCCCCCCCCCCCAGTGGAACAGTCTCTTAAGCCCAATAAGAGAAAAAGACGTAGGCAACATACCTAATCAGTCCAGAGGGAGGTGGCTGCTAAAATCAGAACTAAGGATCTGGCCCCTAAGAAGGCAAATCAGGCTGAGTTGAGGGCAGAGAAGCGCAGACATGCGGCCCTAGAGAGGCAGTTCAACAGAACTATTCAACAGAAAAGACTGCAACTACAGCATGTTTCATGTGATACCTGTGGGCCCCAGCCAAGCCCTCCCAGGGGAGGAGAAGTTATCCATGAGCCTTTCCATCCTCCATCCTGGTCTCCTGAGGCTTTTGCAGAACAATCAGATCCTCAGGATCTCAGCAGATCTGGGCCCTATTTCCAACAGGCTTCTGGGCCCTATGCTCCTCCCCCTCCCTCCAGGCCTCGAACCTCTTTTCAATCTAGGCCTGAAACCACTTTCACTCCCACAGCAGCGGACCTTCGGCCTTCTGTCTCTACCTTTTAGCATAGACCAGGGGATATCCAAGATGTTGTCTCATTGACCATTAGGCAGGGATTGGCTGAAGGCTTCAGGCAAATTCTTCGACCTCTGGAAAGGGTTCAGGCCCTTCTCCCTTCTCAATTTATAAGCTCCTTGCCTCATCACCCTGATTTACACAGGCCCCAGGACCTCAGGGCCCATTCTTCTCTACCAGACTGGGAGGAGGTTGATGAGGAAGAAAGGGCTTCACCATCTGAACACAGTTACTCCTCTTGTTCAGAGCATGAAGAGGGTGAGATTTTTGACCAAAATCTTTCAGAGGAAGAGGATTCTCACCCAGAGCAGACATCCTCTGCATTGGTCTTCAAACCTACTCTCTTCAGGCCATTACTCAGCAAGACTTTGGTCACTGCCAAGCTGTCGCGGGAGGAAGTGGCTCCTGAGCCACAAGGAAATCCCTCTAGCCAAGGAGACTCATTCTTCTCCAAGCCTGTAGTGCATGCAGAGGTTTTGCCTTCTCCCACTTTGTTCCTGAACATGGTCAAGGAACAGTGCATTTCCCCTTTGGCAGGTCCCCACCCATCTTCTCTGGATAAGCATTTCTACAACGTCAGCGCAGCCCTGGACAATGCCTTGGCAGTGCCTTGACATTCCGGTTCTGGCCTCGTTTACATCTTCTGGCACTCCCACGGAGCCAGAAGATATCCTGAAACCAGATGATAAACGTTCCGAATAGACCCTCAAACGCAATCACCAGGCCGCTGCATGGGCTGTTCAGCCTTCAACAGCAGCATCCTTTTTCACAAGGGCATCCATACAGTGGCTGCGCCAATTGCAGAATAGATTGCCTGCTTCTGACCTTCAGTCTTACCAAGACCTTAATAAGATTATCGCAGCGGCGAAATTCATTGCGAATGCCACTATAAATTCCACCAAATTTGCATCTAGGGCCATGGCATCTTCAGTAGCAGCAAGAAGACTTTTATGGCTCCAAAATTGGCAGGGGGAGTCACGCTGAAAATTGAAGCTGGCTTCAGTTCCATTCGCAGGTAATAAGCTTTTTGATGATGCCTTGGAACCTTATCTCATTGAAACCAGAGATAAACGTAAAGTTCTCTCTTCCTCTGGGAAGA